GTGATACGTAAATTATGAATATAGCAGAAACATTGTACATTCTGTACTGAAACATTCTAAGGACTGCCAAAAAACATACATATGTATAACGCCTATAACATACGTGTGGGTGTGCTTGCTCACACACACACACACACACACACACACACACACATGCTCATTTAAAAAGGTAAAAAGGCGTGGCAAAGGGATACAGTATTCAGTTTAGATGACATATCATTAACATCTCAAGACTGTTCCCGACAATAAAATGAGGGAGTAACATCCTTGAGGAACGATGGAGAAAATGCAGGTGTACAAGTCCTCCCAACAGTCCGTGCTGGGCTGGCTAGTTCACTGAGCTCTATGATCTGCTAGGGAGCTATAAAACACCCTCCTTGTAGCAGTACTATCCGAACCTCATTATGAATGTAACTATTAGGACATCCTCTCAGTTGCAAGCATTAGGGAGTCTTATGCTAGAAAATAAATGTCAACAAGAAAGTTATGTCTCAGGATCACCAGTTAGCATAAGGCTATGTCGCTGGACTCCCATGTAGTAGACCGCGGTTCAAGTCCTGGATCCGGTGTCTTAAATTCATGCCAGGCGCATGTGCGTGCATGCCCAAGATCCCGAGAGGAAAACAGAGGAGAAAGGATTGCGGCATGGCCATACCCCCTTGGGAGGTGATTTCTCGCTTTCTGTCTCTGCCTCTCTCCGTCTTTCTGGCGAGTGCATGCACCCTATACAAAAACCTCTCCAATAAATAAATAAATAAATAAATAAATAATAAAAAACAGTTACATCTCAAGAGGTATCTTAAATTTGTAAGCACTATAAAGATCATCCTTAGCTAAAAAGCAAATCTTTACCTGGCAACTCCTCCATAGTCAAGGCCTTCTTCTCCACGAAATTTTATCATTAATCGCTTCCAAAGATCTTTTGGTCTCATTTTCATGACCTGTCGGTATGATTCCTAGGGGAAAAAAAAATTTAAATAAACTATTATGAGGTACTTCTACCACATGACTTAAATTCTACCCCCTCCTTTCCGTCCACAAAACATAGGCTTAATTAAACAAGGTAGAACCTGTTCAACAATCAAACCAATGGATAAATTCAAAACCTTTTCAAGTTCATGGACCTTGGAAAAACAGAACAGGGGGCAGCATGGTGGTTAAGGTGTTGGACGCCCAACATAGTCAACCATGGTTTAAGTCGTAGACCTGGTGGCTTGCTTTCTCAATTTCTCTCTCTGGTAGACATACATGTCCTGTAGTAAACTTAAAAACAACGATAAATTTTAAAAATTAAATTAACAATTCTGTTTTCTTTTTTTAGAAAGAGATTTTTGCTATAGGGCACATGCACTCTACCAGAGATAGAGAGACAGAAAGCAAAAATAAATCAGCCCCAGGGGTATGGCCATGCTGAAATCCCCTTCACCTCCAGTCTCTTCTGAGGATTTAGGGCATGCATGCACACGTGCCTGGTGTGAGTTTAAGCCACGGAGTCCAGACTTAAACTGCAGTCAATTATGCAGGAGTCAGTGACATAACCATTACGACACCTGCTGGTCCCAAATTAGTAATTCTTAAAAAAAAAAAAAAAAAATACTGGGTCATCTGAAAAGTCATAAGGTATTTTTTTGTTCTACTACGCAAAAAATGCATTTATTTTTTTGAAAGGTTTTTGCTATAGGGTGCGTGCACTTGCCAGAAAGAGAAAGACAGAGAGAAAGTGAGAAACTCCCCTCTAGGGAGGATGGCCACACCGCAATCCCTTCTCCTCCATTCTCCTCTTGGGGTCTTGGGCATGCACACACATGCGCTCACTGAGAGTTTAAACCACCGAGTCCGAGACTTGAATCACGGTTGACTACATAGGAGTCCAGCGAAATAGCCCTATAGCCATTACGCCAACTGCTAGTCCCAGCGTCATGACCTTTTCAACAACCCCAAAAATTAAAATTAAAAACTTGAAAACAGAATAGATATCTCTTAATCCTACTGAAACAATTCTTGTGATAAATACTATATTAAATACTTACTAGATTCAAAACTGTTTATTTCATTTTATTTATCCTTATTGTTATTTTTTTATTTGCTACAAGGCACATGCGCCCACCAGAGAGAAACAGATTGAGACAGAAAGAAAGAGAAAATAAGCCTCCAGGTCCAGGACTTGAACCAGTCAGTCATTTGGGACTCCGGTGCCTTAACCACCATTCCACTTGCTGACCCAGAAGTCCATATTTAGTTCTGTGAACCACCACAATGCTTCCACTCATATTTAAAACAGAATTTGCTAAAAGTAGCCAATTTTTAAAAGCTAGCTGAGCTAATTCTAGATAATAGGCATCCAAAGAAAATAAATGTAAGAAAGTTTGAGAAGAATAATCATTAATGTGATCTCCCCACATAGAAAATTTTACATCATTTTAAAACACAAATGGCTAATTACCAACAAAGTGAGGAAATATCCTAGAGAAAAACATTCATGTTTCAGGCAAAAGTTTATCAAGTTTCCAAGTGTCTCACGTCCACAAATCCTACGAGTGCGAAAGCCCTCCTCTGACTTCAGCCACCTACCGTGTGAGAACCGCTATGCTGCTAGTAGGGCCAGAATCCAAACATAAAAGTATTTTACAAAAAGAAAGATTTTCAATAAATTAAAGAGGTCATCCAGTAGTAATGAGACAATTTTTTAAAATAAAAGAATCCCTTTTCTTTCAGAATGAGAAAGGAAGGGATGGATATATTTGTGGCCTTATAACTGTAAAAAATTCATCCCCGTAAGTATCTGCAATAAAGGGACCACGCTGAACCAATCAGAACACTGGGCGCTCCTCATCTCAGTTACATGCACACTCTACATCTATCTCCAACGCCACTGCCTTTATTTCTCACAGTTAAAGAATAAATTAATGAGAATTCTTCCATTCTAAAGACATGAGTCCCAGGGCTGGCAGGTAGCATGGTGGTTAAGGGCACTGGACTCCCACATGGCTGACCACAGTTTGGGTCCTGGGTCTGGCAGCTTGCTTTCTCTTTCACTTTCCCTTTCTCTTTCACTGTCCCTCTCTGGTCAAATTAAAACAAACAAACAAAGTTAAATAACATAATGATTAAGCAAATAAATAAATAAATAATAAAGACATAAGTCCCCCAAAACTACCTTTGAAAGAAAGAGCTAAGCACTAAAATGAATTTTTCTCTACTTTAAAATGAGACTTGTAACTTTACCTCAAAAATTTCTTCCCTGGATACCTCGATGCGGCAGTGGCCTGCCTGAGGCTGTTGTTGGGAGAGTTCTTGCCGCAAAATTTTCAGTTTCTGAACCAGGTCCCGCTTGTACCTCGGGACTGTCAGACACTCCGCGTCCTCAGGGCATAACGACACTACTTGCTGCTGCTGTCGGTCTTTCGATTGGTTCTGCCGACTAGATAGACAGAAATGTTAGTACTGGAGCATTTTAAATAAAAAATGCTACATTTAAAATAGCCTCGAACTTAAAGTCTGTGCCAGAGACTTCAAAAACCTTGTGGAAAAATAAAATGAAAGAGTGAGTTTGTTTTGGTGGGAATAAGTTCTGAAACTCGTGAATAATTTTTTCACACCATGCATTTTCCAAGAACTTTCTCAAGACTCCTTGTGTATTCAGCTTAATGACTTTGGCAACGATAAACAAGCCTGAAGTTTATTTCCCACAGTCCATATGAATTGACAAAACTGGAAAATGAATTTTACCCATAAAGCTTTGTATGTGGCTGAGGACAAATTCTGCAAACACTGTTTCCCTTTTCTTCATCTTTTACTATCACCCACCATAAAACCCATGTACATGCCAAACACACTTGTTACCTAGAAGTCTGTCTTTCTGCAGCTCAAACTGGCAGCTCGGCACCATGATCCTCCTCTATCTGTTATGGTATAGACCTTGATACTGCAGCATGTAAGTTACTGGTTCAGAGAAATGAGTACTTTACCAACAAGACAAGGGCTTTTGGGAACCAGCAGTTAGTGTAATGGCTATGTCGCTGGACTCCCACGTAGTCGACCGCAGTTCACGTCCCGGACCCGGTGGCTTAAAACTCATGCCGAGTGTATGTGCATGCGTGCCCAAGATCCCGAGAAGAGAATGGAGAAGGAATTGCAGTGTGGCCATCCCCCCTGGGGGGTGAGTTCTCGCTTTCTCTCGCTCTCGTGTGTTGTCTGGCGGGCGCACGCATCCTATAGCAAGAACCTCTCCAAAAAAAAAAAAAAGACAAGGGCTTTTAAAAGTGACCACGTCTATGAATTTATGTAGTAAAATATACAGATAATCTACCTTTCTTTGTTTTTTTTAGTTTTTATTTTTTTGGTTTTTGGGGATTTTTTTTGAGAGGTTTTTCCTATAGGGCACATGCACTCGCCAGACAGACAGAGACATAGAGACAGAAAGCGAGAAATCACCCCCCAGGAGGGATGGCCACGCACGCACATGCCCCCAGCGTGAGTTTAAGCCACCGGGTCCAGGACGCGAACCGTGGTCGACTACGTGGGAGTCCAGCGACACAGTCATTACGCTAACTGCTGGTCCCCAGAAAATCTACCATTTAACCATATTTAAGGCTATCCTTCAGTGGCATTAAGTACATTCACATTGTTGTGCTAACGTCACTTCTACCTATAAAGGGTTTACCACAAGTACATCATAAATATTATAGTAATTTTAAAAGGTATTTTGCCAGATATATTTTATTCTCCCAGCATAAAATATTAATATTATGAATGGAATCTAAGATTTTTTAAGAATTCTATGATATGCTGAGATGGATAATTCCAGGAAGAGGTCAGGAAATAAGAAGTGAGATCATTCATTACTACTGTCTATGCCATTGCTGAGTGGTACAACTGGAGTTTTAACATGAACTTTCCGCACAACAGACAAATGCACAACTCCCTAACCCAACAATATAGGGCAACAGCAGCTATGATAAAATACACAAAAATAACTTGCAATTCTCTAACAGGTTGCCCAAATTTATCTTATATACACTGATTCTATGTACAAGGCCCATTTTACACCTAAAATATCTTTTTTAAAAATTATTTATTTATTTACTTTATCCATTCATTTATTTTAATTTGACCAGAGAGAGAAACAGAGAGAGAGAGAGAAAGCGAGACAGCAAGTCACCAGGTCTGGTACTCAAACCATGGTCAGCCATGTGGGAGTATCCAGTGCCTTAAACACCACACCACCTAATGGTCCCCACCTAAAACACTTGTTTAGAGAAAATAGTTTTGTTGAAAATGTCGTGTCAATGTTAACTACTCTCACAAACATTACATAATAAAGGTGCTTTTCTGTACACATATTCACAAAATCAAAACAGAATATGATACAAATGTAAGTATTTCATAAACAATTATATAACCCTATTTTTAAAAAAATTAACTTGGAGGCCCAGCAGGTGGCACAGTGGTTGAGATGCTGGACTCTCACATGGTCATCCGTGGTTTGAGTCCTGGAATTGGTGGCTTGCTCACTCACTCGCTCGCTCTCTCTCTCGTGAGCACATGTGCCCTGTAACAAATTATAATAATGATAAATACATTTAAATAAATAACTCTCTTTTTTTAAAAGAATTATTTAACTTTATTTATTATTTATTTTAATTTGACCGGAGAGGGACAGAGAGAGATAAAGAGAAAGGGAAAGTGAGAAAGCAAGTCTCTAGGTCTGGAGCTTGAACTCTGGTCAGCCATGTAGGAGTCCGGCACCTTAAACCACCATGCCCAATAAACAATACTTTGTAAAAAATGAACTTGGATATATCTCACATAGATAAATGATTTAACTCAAAATGGATCACAGATTTTAATGTAAAACCTATAGTGAAAAAACTTCTAAACACAGGAGAAAAATTTTATGACATGTATTTGAAAATGATTTCTTAGACACAACATTAAAATTACCATCCATAAAAGAAAAAAATGATAAACTGGACTTCATTGACTTTTTTTTTTTTTTTAATTCTGCTCTCAAAAGACCATGTTAAGAAAATAAAAAAGTGGGGCCAGCAGATGGCATGGTAGTTAAGGCACTGGACTCCCACATGGTGACTACAGTTTGAGTACCTGACCTGGTGGCTTGAAAATCACAATAAGTAAACAGATAAATAAATTATAAACAAACAAACAAACGAATGAATGAATGAATGAATAGTTCTGGGTTTGGTTTTTAAAGAAAATAAACATAAATCTAGCATACAATTTAGTCATTCTACTCCTCGGTATTTATTTATCCAATAGAAATGAAAGCCTACGTCCATACAAGACTTGTACATAAATGTTAATCATTTTATTTGTCATAGACAAAATACTGGAAACATCCAGGAAGCTGGATGAACTGTGGCATATCTATATAGTGGGATTACATAAGCAATTAAAAGAAATGAACTACACATACAATAATAGGGATGAATCTCGAAATTATAATAAAAGAAACCAAACTAAGACCACATATTGGGGCCAGCAGGTGGCATGGTGGTTAAGGCAGCTGGATCCCACATGGCCAACTCCACAGTTCAAACTCAGGATCCAGTGGCTTGAAACTCATGCTGGGCGTGTGTGCATGCATGCCCAAAATCCCAAGAGAAGAACTAGGAAAAGGAAAAGGGACTGCAGCATGGCCATCTCCCCAGGGAGGGAGGAGTTTCTCGCTTTCTCTCCCTCTCTCTGTCCTCTGTCTCTGGGGCATGTGCATACAACCTATAGCAAAAAAAAAAAAAAAAAAGGCTAAAATAATTAAATAAGCATATATTGTAATGATGACACTTATCTAAAACTCTAGAAAAAGGAGACAAATATATAGTGACCAAAAGCAGATCACTGGTTGGCTGAGGAAGGGGTGTGTTGTGGGTTAATTATATCCCCCAGAAAGATATGTTAGTTATCTGTGTTATCTGTGAATGTGACCTTATTTAAAAATAGGGTCAGGGCCAGCAGGTGGCATGATGGTTAAGGCAATGGATTCTCATTATGGCCAACTGCAGTTCAAGATCCAGACCCAGCAGCTTGCTTTCTCGCTTTCTCTCTCTTTCTCTCTGTCTCTCTCTGGTGAGCACACATGCCCTATAGCAAATTAAAAAAAAAAATAATGATGACAATAAAAAAAAATTAAAGAAATAATTCTTTAAAAAATACAGTCTTCATAAGCAAAGGAAAACAAATAAATAATTGGTATTAAAGCAATCAAAACAGGAAGGAAAAGGGGCTAGCCTTGTAATGCAGTGGTTAAGAAAGACAGTTCCCACATGGCTGACTGTGGTTTGAGTCCTGAACTGCTGGCTTAAAAAACATGCTGGGCATGTGTGTGTGTGTGCGTGCATACCAAATCCTGACAGGATGGGGAAATGGAGGTAAAGGGACTGTGGTATGACCGTACCCAACTGGTGGTGTCTCTCTTTCTCTGGCAAGCACGTGTACTTTCTGGCAAGTAAAGAAAAATAGGCCAGCTTTTGTGGGGATGAGGCAGCCGTCCCACATAGTCAATCTCTCAGTTTGTGTCCCAGACCTGGCAGCTTGAGAAACATACCAGGCACATGTATGTGTGTGCCCAAAATCCCCAAAGCAAGGAGAGATGGAGGAGAAGGGATTATGGCATAACCATTCCCCATGGGGTGCTCTATCTTCTCCCTCTCCTTTTCTGTCAAGCACATGTGCCCTCTAGCAAAAATAAAATAAAATAAAAAACAAACAACCAGAAAAAAAAATACATAAGTAAAACACAATACTGAGTCCAGAAATATGCAAGTAAATGAGAAACATATAAAAAAAAAATTAAAAATAAATTAATTAAAAAAACCAGACGGGAAAAAATAACACCTCTATAGTCAGCTTGGCTGGATTCAAATCCCAGCTCTAATAATTTTTATGCACCTCTGCACAAGTGACTTAACTGTTTAAGGCTCTATTTTTCTTACTGGTGAGAAGAAAGTAACGTGGGATTGCAATGCAGATGCCATGAGGACAACCAGCACTCAGAGCACAATAAGCACACAATATATGTTGTTATAATCGTTACAATAATATACCCTAATAACCTTTTTTGGTTTAAAAAAAAAAAAAGACCTAGCTACTGTGCCACGGCAGTTAAGCAGCGCCCAGCACATGGCAACTGCAGGTTTGGATCCTGGGTTGGCCTGAGAACACACTGGGTGGGCCTGTGTGCACCCAATATCCTGAGGAGCTGGAGGCCTGGGGAAAGGGAATCACTGTACGACGAGACCCTGTCGAGGAGAGGCTCCCTCTTGCATGTGTGTACATACGCCATCGTATTAAAAACAGGAATTCCAAAGAGGGAAAAGCAATAGATACCATATTATATCCGAAAAATGAGGTAACTACATATTGGGTCATTGGAAGTCATGATGAATTTTTCCATTTTCTATGCAAAAATAAGTCGTGACTTTTCCAATGACCCAATGTATGTGACAGCTCCCAGACAAGATTCCGAACTCCTTTTACATACTGAAGAAGTCCTGATTTGGTCCAGCATGGTGGCAGTGATAATGCAATGCTTCACGATGCTGGAGCCACCTGGGAAACCCCAGGTTCACACCCGGGGGTCTCTGTACGTGTTGGGCATGCGCTGGCTGAGGCTAGGGGTGAACTGCAGTGTGAAGACTCTGTTGAGACAGGTGCTGTTGACGTGTTCGTGATTATTCAGCGTTCACTGTGTCGTGACAGCAACCCACAACCAGACTGCCAGCCCTGACTTCTGTCAAGTCACTGCCTCTGTAAAACACCCACCTGACTGAATACCTTTGATACACACACTTCTCCTAACATTTCAGGGCAGGTCTTACTTCAGCACAGTGGGATTAAAATACTTGTATTAGTAAAACTTGTCATACTCTTACATAAAATTTTGCTCAAAAAAGTAAAGTATAATTGAAAACAGCAGACTTTTTATCATAAAAAGCTTTTATCAGTGTCTTCTTATTCAAATTCATATTTTATAATGTATGGCTTCAAAGACTTACTTTAAAACTAAATGCAAGTTAGCAGAGAGTCGAGGATCTGTAAACTGTGTTGTTCTGTTGTTATGGTCAACGAAATAAACTCTGCCTGTTGCTGTATTACGAATCTCCCATCCAGGAGGCAATGGACCAAGCTCTTCACAATTGATGTTGCTAAGATCTCTGTAAAAACAAACATAAAATAAAAAATACCTCATTGCTGGGCCTGCTGAGCCAAGCAAGTGTAAATGACACAGAACAATTCCATGAAGTCTTAGGAAATGTATTGTTTCAGAAACTTGAGATGCTCAGTTGGAATCTTTAATTCCCAACAGCTTAACAAACACACGTATTCAAAACCCAATCTGTATGTGGTTCAGAAAACCTTACCATATAACCTACATTTCTAGTAAGTGTGTTCCTGGGCTTCAATGTAATCGATTTTAAATTATATAAAAGCAATCACAATATGTGCCAACATAAGCTATACTTTAATAGTTGTTTGTAAGAAAAAAATGAATATTTTCTGAATTTCTGTATGATTCTTTCTTTCTTTACTATAAAGTTTGTGTAAATAAATGTCCATTCCATGATTATTATTATTTTTAAAGGTTTTTCCCTTAAGCTGTGCCTGCTTGCCAGAGAGACAGAGACAGTGAGAGAGAAAGTGAGAAATCACCTCCCAGGGGGATGCCACAATCCCTTCTCCTCTACTCTCCTCCCAGGATCCTGAACACGCACGCACACATGCCTGGAGTGATTTTCAAGTCACCGGGTCCAGAACTCGAAGTGTGGTTGGTCATGTTAGAGTTCAGCAAGATAACCCCTACCTCATCTACTGGTCCCACCATAGCACACTTTTTAAAGAATAATTACTCCATTTTTAATTTTGAAATCTATAAAATTAAGAACTTGCTTAAGATACCTACAAAGAATGTTCTAGGCTTACTATTGCTGGAATAAAAAAACTAAATGACGTTTAATGAACCACAAAGACGATTGTCACTACACATGCTTAAAATGCTACTAAATTTAGACAAGGATTTATAGCACTTTTAAGAATGAGATAAGAGGTCAGTAGGTGGTGTGGTGGTTAGGGTGCTAGACTCCCATGTGGCCGACCACGGTCATGAACCTGGCAGCTTGCTTTCTCACTTTCTCTCTCTGTCTCTCTCTCTGCTGAGCACAAGTGTCATACAACAAATAAAAAATGATAGTACTAATAAATAAAATGAAATAAACGACTCTTTAAAGAAAAAAGAAAGGAACGGCATAAGGAGCTTCCAGACTGGTGAGCACACTGAGGTACTGATTGGTTAGCATGCCCAGGATGGGCATGGGAGCTCCTAGTCCCTCCCCACTGGGCATTATTTTCCATCTAGTTGTTGCTGAGTTGGACTTTAATAATGAACTGGACTACAAACTGTTTATCGTCTACACTGTGAGAACAAAATCTTCCAGGGTGAAATTTCCAACTGTTGAAGTTGCTGCTATCCTCTGCCAGGAGACTGAAGGCACTGCCGTCAGCGACCCATGAGGCTGTGTGTCAGGGCGTACGATATGCTCAGGCCATTTCCAGCCTTGAAGGAACACTGGGCCTCTGGGTGAAGAAATAACACTACAAGCACACTCAAGCATCCAAACAGGGAAACTGTTACCTTTTGTGGTCATCTTTTCATTCAAAAACAAAAAGAAAAGCAACACATCTAATATAAATTTAAACTGTAACATTATAGATAGGGCCAAATTTAATCAAAATCACATTTTTTTATTTTTAGAGTTTTTTCTTTGTTCTTTTTAGAGAGAGATTTTTGTTATAGTGTGTGTTCACTAGCCATAGAGACAAAGAGAGAGAGACAGAAAGCTAGAAATCACTCCCCCGGGAGATGGTCCACTGCAATCCTTCTCTTCCATTCTCTCAGGATCTTGGGCACACAAGCACACACACCTGGCATGTTTTAAACTGCTGGGTCTGAGACTTGAACTGAGGTAACCATTATGCCATCTGATGGTCCCTCAAAATCATGTTTTAAGGGACCAGCAGATGACATAATGGTTATGTCACTGGACACCCACCCATGTAGTCGACCATGATTTGAGTGCCAGACCTGGGAGCTTGAAACTCATGCCAGGGTCATGTACATGCCCAAAATCCTGAGAGGAGAATATAGGAGAAGGAACTGCAGTGTGGCCATCCCCCTGGGGAGTGATTTCTCACTTTCTGTCTCTCTCTCTCTGGAGAGTGCTTGTGCCCTATAGAAAAACCTCTCTCTAAAAAAAAAAAATAATAATAATAATAAGAGACCAGCAGATGGCATGATGGTTATGTCACTGGATTCCCATATAGGTGACTACAGTTCAAGTCCTGGACTAGGAGGCTTAAAACTCATGCTGGGCACATGTGTGTACTTGCCCAAGATCCTGAAAGGAGAATGAACGAGAAGGAACTGAGGTGTGGACATCCCCCCATGGAGTGATTTCTCACTTTCTGTCTCTATGGTGAGAGTACATGCCCTATAGCAAAAATATCTCTAAAAAAAAAAAAAAAAAATCGGGAGGCCAGCAAGTGGGATGGTGGTTAAGGGTACTGGATTCCCACATGGCCAATGGCAGTTCAAGTCCCAGATCTGGTGGCTTGTTTCTAACTTTCCCTCTCTCACTCACTCTGTCCCTCTCTGGTCAAATTAAAATAAATAAATTAAATTAAGTAATTCTAAAAATAAAAAGGTTTCTTTTTAGAGTCACATTTAAAAAGTTAAACTAGAGGGATTGGCAGGTGGCATGGTGGCTAGGGGCACTGGACTCCCACAAGGTCGACCATGGTTCAAGTCCCAGACCTGGTAGCTTCACCTTCCCTCCCTCTGTGTCTCTCTCTGGTCAAATTTTTAAAAATAAAAATAAATAAAGTTAAATAAAAAATTCTAAAACAAAAAAGTCCAACTAGAAAAACAGTTTTTCTGAAATAACCTCTTCTGAGTCACAGTGAAACATACTAATGAGCACACACAGGCACTCCTGGATTTGTTCAATCAATGGCTCTGACCTACGCCTGCAGGTGCTCCAAGAGACTCTCTTGCTAAAAGGACGACTAAAGCTTGGGAAACCAACTATCCGAGACACTGCTAGTCTCAAAAGAGCAAAGGGAACTTTTAAGAATCCTCTTCAAATTCAAAAACTGAAAAGTGAATTGAGCTAGAGCTGACACCTGAGTGGCAGGTGGGGAGAGGGGTAGGCCAACAGCAAGGCTGGGAAAGGAAACCTGGAACTTCCTCCATAAGCTGAGAACTCAAAGAGGGGATGAAGGGACCAACAGATGGTGTAATGGTTACATCACTGGACTCACACAGTCAACTGCAATTCTGGTCCCGGACCCGGCAGCTTGAAACTCATGCTGGGTACGTGTGTATGTGCCCAAGATCCCAAGAGGAGAATGGAGGAAGAGGGATTGTGGCATGGCCATCCCCCCTGTGGGGGATATATTTCTCGCTTTCTGACTCTCCCTTCTTTCCAGTGAGTGCACGCACCCTATAGCAAAAATCTCTCTAAAAATGAAAGGAAAAAAAAGGGGAGATGAAGTGATTCCAGGAAAACTTTCAAAATTCCCACTCCAAGGAACTGCAATTTATTAAGATCAAGATCAAATAATAAACTCATGAAAATCACCAAACACTTCTTCAGAAAGGCAAGCTACCATGACAAAGTCAATAGATCCCCCAAATGAGATCCCCAAGAACTGTCAAAGGCCAAAAGGAGAGAACAGCTCCGACTCTCGGACTCTTAATGGCAGATCTGGCTTTCCTTTAGCCAGCAGGCTATGGGACCAGCTCAGGTAGGTTGGATTTTTTTTTTTTTTAATGAAACTTTTAGAAAACAAAAACAATTATTGAAATCAAAGAATGAGCAAATCCATTGATATAATGCAGAATTTGATTCTGTCACTGTCCTGAGAATGTTACAAATCCACAGCAATATATAGAAGAACTCAAAAGAACAGAAAAACTAAAAACAATGTTTATGCCCACTTGGGAACTCAGTAAAGAAAAATGGAATGTTATATAGCCATAAAAAGGAATACAGATCTGGGGCCAGCAGATGGAATGGTGGATAGGGTGCTGAACACTTCTATATGGCCAGCCAAAGTTCGAGTCCTAGACCTGGTGGCTTGCTTTCTCACTTTCCCTCTCTGTTTGTCTCTCTCTGGTCAAATTAAAATAAGTGAATGAATAAAATTAAAATAATTCTTTAAAGAAAAAGTAATACAGATCTCTATTTCAAAACTACAGTCAGAATGCAAAATAAGAAATATAAAGCATTAATAACTGTTTTAAAGAAAAATACAGAGCATAACATGGGACTTCTCAGATAAATCTAAGTATACTGGATATCTCTAAATACAGTTTGTTTTAAAGTATGATTTACATAATTTTGTAAATGCTTTGAATAGTAATATTTTAATAAACTCTAAAAGTTTATAGTCTGCTTTGCTAAAACATTCTCCACGTAAAAGTCCTCCAAAACAAAAGGGATGATATAAATTTTTAAGACAATTAATGACAAAGAGACTAAGAAAAAGAAAAGTAATCCAGAGCATTATTTGTCATTAATTCAAACCAGGAGTCAATATTCAACATGAAATATTTTTAAACCCTTATAAAAGGCCCTTACTCATTAATAAAAAACTGTCATTTTCTTCTTAGGAATAAGATCATAAACAGCAGTACTGAAATTTAACTCAATTTCAATTTCTGTTACCAGCTTATATTCTATTCTTTCAACAGATAACTTTAAGATCAACTTTCTCGCTTTTTAAGACTATTTAGTTTTTTAAAACTCATTTTTCTTCTATACTTTTTCTACTAATAACTTTTGATAATTTTTTAAGAGCACATGTGCTCGCCAGAGAGACAGAAAGCGAGAAATCACCCTCCCACCCCACCCCGAGTATATGCCCACACTGCAATCCCTTTTCTTCTATTCTCCTCTCAGGATCCTGAGCACTCACATACATGCGACTGGCATGAGTTTTAAGCCACCAGGTTTAGGACTTGAACCATGGCTGACCCTGTGGGAGTCCAGCAATGTAATCATTATGCCATCTGCTAGGCCTGATTTTTTTTTTATCATTTTAAAGAAAAGCTTATTATTGACTTTTAATCTGACAGACAGAATCCAAAAACTTCTTTTCATTAATTTATATATAGTGAAATCCTGATTCTTAAAAGTTAGGCCCTTGGATTTTATTCAGTGAGCTTAATAAAACAAATGTAAAATTTCCTCCACATGGGCTGGCTCCTTGGCCTGGTGGTGAAGGCAGCCAGATCCCTCATGGACAACCCCGAGGTTCAACTCCTGGACCCAGCAGCTTGAGAAATACACTGGGTGCATGTGCGTGCATGCCCAAAATCCAGAAAGGAGGTAATGGTGAAGGAGCGAGGATTGCAATGTGACCATTTCCCATTGAGCGGTGCTTTCTCTCTCTCCCTCTCTGCCTCTCTCTAGCAAGCACATGCACACTCCGGCAAAATTTTTTTCAAATTTTCCCCACTGGGATCAGCAGATGGCATAATGGTTACATTGCTGGATTCCCCCATAGTCAACCATGACTCAAGTCCCGGACACAGTGGCTTAAACTCACACCAGGGGCATGTGTGTGCATGCCCAATATCCCAAGAGGAGAATGGAGGAGAAGGGACTGCGGTATGGCCATGCCCTTTGGGGAGGCGATTTCTCACTTTCTGTCTCTGTTTCTCCCTGTCTTTCTGTATCTCCCTGTCTCTCTGGTGAGTACACATGCCCTATAACAAAAATCTCTCCAAAAAATAAATAAACAAATAAATAAAATTCTTCCCCACTATTTTTTAAATACTAACAACTTCTATTGTCAAGACACAGAAATGGCAACCTTGATACAATAATCAATGATAGCACATTTCCTTGGTTGCTACCCTCAAAGGATTCTAATTAAATTCTATAATAAAGTAAAACTTTTCATTACAATACTTTTATTTATAGAGAATATCAAAGGCAACCCAAGATCAGTTAGTCATATCTGTTTTTTATTCAAATACAGAATCAAGCCATGGAAAAAGATCTCTTGATCTTCTAAGGTTTTTTTGTTTTGGAGGGAAGAGGGTTTGGAAGACAGAGGGTATTGTGCTTAACATATAAAACATCCTCATCTTACAAAGATACATGTACATATAAAAAACATATTTATAATTTAACTTAGAAATTCAAGCTGTTTTGTAGCCTCAACTGGACTGTTTGGTACTTTGCATATGTTTATTAGAAAATAACTCAAAATAGACAAGCAATGTTTGACAAACTCATCATTTGATACTAAAATGTAACAAAAATTATGTTAAATTACTAAACTGATTTGGGGGTCATTCCATTTATTAAAGTTAAGAGAACTGACATTTTGGTTCACATATGCAATGCCTACTGTTCAAGTGCACGATTATTTTAAAAGTGAACTGAATTGAATTAGGTTTCTTTGCTATTAATACATTAAAATGAAACTTTATTAAAGTAACACATTAACATTCATAAGATTAATTTTCAAAAAAAAAGCTTAACCAGAAATAAAAATATCAATCCCTTTCTTTTCGAGCTGGTATTGCTTTACTAAAGTTTTTTTTACATTTTTGCTCTTACAGGAGATTAGTTGACAGTTCTCTGTTTTGTGTTATAATTGTTCCTTTTTTATTGTAATTATAATTTCTGGTATACATATAATTGATGTATATCTTTGTGGGTTACAGATGGGTTTTTTAAATTTTTTGTTTTTTAGTTTTTGCTATAAGGGGCATGCACTTGCCAGAGAGGGAAAATGAGAAATCACCCCACACAGACACAGGAGGAAGGTCATGTCCCAATCTCTTTTCCTCCAGTATCCTCTTGGGATTTTGGGCATGCACACACACATGCCTGGTGTGATTTTTCAAGCCACTGGATTCAGGACTTGAACTGCATAGCTGGCCATGTAGGATCCCAGTGCCTTAACCCCCACGCCACCTGCTGGCCCTACAAAATGTTTTTTAAGGCATGCATTCAACAATCAAGGATATATCCAAATTTATCTTCTTAAACATAGAACATTACTTTATGTTGTATACATATGATAGTTCTACTACTTTTTTCCCCTAAATATGTATTAAATTGTCCTTATTTTTACTCTGCTATGATGCACTATCCTATAGTCTCTTTCTTTTATTTACCTGCATTCTTATGTCCATTATAAATTTTGTCATGGAACCCTGCTCCAATCTGCCAACTTTTTAAAAGGGTAACATATGTTTTGTATGTTTTCCCTATAGTCAATTTTTGAACTCCTGAAAGACGTTTTTGTACTACCTTTTTAAAGGGGGCAAAGGGAAAAGGGTTGGGGACCAGTTTAGGGAGAAGTGGGGTGGGACTACAGAGAAAGAGCTAGGACTTGCTACTAAATGTCGAAAACTGAAATGACTATTAGAAAGAGCTAGACTTTCAGAATATACTGTTTGTAGAAGTTAAACATGAAAAACGAACAAACAAACCCTACCTAGATAAAAAGAATAGTCAATGAAACCAAAAGTACTTAGATGCGTTCCTACCTGGGCACTCTTGGATCATGCCATGTGCTCACGCCAGTCTGAGTATGCAAAAAATACACCTGACCTTGCTGCGTTGTCCTCTGTTCTGTAAAATTAAGAAACACTAATAAGAAAAGCCTATTTGGAATGTTCAAATCAAAAAAGAAAGCTAAATATACTAGGATGATACACTAGGACAGAAAATTCCCAAACAGTGCATTTCATTACCAAAAAACATTGGCTTTACAAATCACTTGCTCTAGCTCCTAGAAAAAATCTTATAAATGGTGATGAGGGTCACAGATCAGCTATCCAAAAGCGAATTAAACTTATAATGTAGCTCAACTACAAAACATATTGCAAAGGAAAATAGAAAGCAAGATGGCTGTAATACCAATAATTAAACAAAACGAAAAGGAAGGAAATGATCTTTTGTCTTTGGCCTTAAACAGAAGCAAAACAGGTGGGGTGTAAGGTGCAAGTTAGTCTTTCTAACTTTTTTCCAAGTTAGAAAGAAGAGGACAAAAGAGCAAGGTGTACACTGGAGAAGAGAAAAGCAAAGAGCGAATGAACTCAAAGCCCTTGGGGAAGACAGTGGGAAAGCCAGGGCAAAGAGAATCTGTAAAAGGGCTTCTTCAAAGGTGTTTTTTCAGTTTTGTTCTTTTTTAAGCAACAGATCAGTTTTCTTTAAACAAGATCTGATGAGAAATATATAAATATGTAAAACAATAAAACTGCTAATATTTACTAATATAAGTTTAGTGTACTTATAAAATTATTATGAAGTCAATAAATTGAAACTTGAAATAATCATAAACATTAAAACATTTAAAATAGGTTACAGATGACAGTTGCAGTAATTTCAACCTTGGTATATTTACTTTATTCCTTTTTTTTTTTTTTAAGAGAGATTTTGCCATAGGGTGTGTGCACTTGCTGGAGAGACAGACAGAGACAGAGACAGAAAGTAAGAAATCACTCCCAGGTGAGATGGCCATGCCACAATCCCTTCTCTCAGGATTTTGGGCATGCACGCACATGTGCCTGGCGTTGAGTTTTAAGCCTCTGGGTCCAGGACTTGAACTGCAACCAACTACATGGGAGCCCAGTGACGTAACCATTACACCATCTGCTGGTCCCTATTCCCATATTTTGGTTGTATAAAATTTTTAAAAATTCCAATCACACAGATGTTGTAAAAAGTATATGCAATCCCACTCCAAACACCTGGCCTTACAATCTCCATTGTAGAGAAACAGCAGTAGATACTTTATTCTAAGGCTAAATAAAGGCTAAAATTTCTAAGTGCCTTCTATGCCAGGCATCATGTCAGGACTTTACATAAGATTACAGCATTTATGTCTTACAAAAAACCTACACAACTGGTACTATTATTCTCCTCACTGTATAGCAGATAAGATCAAGGCCCCGAGAGATTAAACAAAGTGCTCTGTGTTATGCAGCAAAGCCAAAGGAAGCTTGGTTTGTCTCCCAAACCTCACACTCTCATCATCATGCTATAAAAATAAAGCTGTTCAAAGCAGTTCAAAGAAAAACAATTTCTAATTAAAGGGCTAAACTACATTTTAAAATAAAACTAGAATCATGCATCTTACAGCTTTTAAAATATTCTACAATAAAAATAAATACAACTTAGATGAGGCGATTCCCAATGTCGGTCACTAGGTGTCGCGATCAGCCCAGAACAGTATATCTACAGGAGGTGTTAGGGCACGTAAATAAAGCAGGTTAGCTTTAGCAAGCAGAGGTCAACCGGGTTCACTCATGAGTGTTCACAAGTTGTGATTAATTTAGAAAATTCTGTATTCAAATAGTGGGTTCATGTCATCTTCCACGTAAAAGTCTACAAGTCTAAGAAACTGTGTAAGATTATAATCATTTTATACAAATACAAAAATGACTAAATAATTTATAATGATTCATTTACTCAGATAATCATGAACTATAGATAATACAAACATTACAATTAGTACCTATTCTCAAAGCAGTCTCACACTGTTGCATATATTCCTACAATATCTCTATGATAAGGTATTTATCTTGTTTTATTACTAAAGAGTACAACAGCTGACATCAAATGACTGACATCAAATGACTGATGTTAGACTAGTCCAAGGTCAAACTGTTAGTTAGAGTAGTCTACCACTTCAATGACTTTTCATAGTTGGAAGAGATTTTTTTGTTTTGCTATTAGTGCAGGTATATTCACAAGAGAGACAGAGAGAGAGGAAAGTGAAAAATGAACGTCCCAGAGGGATGGCCACATCACAATCTTTTGTTTTTTAAGAGAGATTTTTGCTACAGAGTGTGTGCGCTCGCCGGAGAGACAGACAGAAAGTAAGAAATCACCCCTCGGGGGGGTTGGGGGGGTAGCCATGCTGTAATCCCTTCCCCTTTATTCTCCTCCCAGGATTTTGGACATGCAAACGCATGCGCCTGGAATGAGTTTTAAGCTGCTCGGTATAAGACTTGAACCGTGGTAAACTACATGGGAGTCCAGCTACATAACCGTTAAACCATCCACTGTCCCTACACCACAATCTCTTCTCCTCTTGTATTTCAGGCACACACACATATATGCCCAACATGTTGTTCAAGCTCCTGGGTCTGAAACTCAAACCAGGAAGTTGGCCATGTGGAATCCAGTTACCTTAACCACCACACCACCAGCTGGCCTCAAAGTTAGGTCTTACATTTACTTTTATTTTTATGCAGAATCCCTAAAGACATTAATAACTTTATTCTTTTTTTTAAATTCTTTAAGATTTTTTTTTTTTGAGAGATTTTCACTGTAGGGCGCGTGTGCTCGCCAGACAGACAGAGAGAGACATGGAGACAGAAAGCGAGAAATCACCCCCCAGGGGGGATGGTCACGCCGCAATCCCTTCTCCTCCATTCTCCTCTCGGGATCTTGGGCACGCATGCACACGCGCCCGGCGTGAGTTTTAAGTCACCGGGTCCAGGACACGAACTGCGGTCGACTACGTGGGAATCCAGCGACATAGCCATTATGCTAACTGCTGGTTCCCTTTAAGAATTATTTTTATTTAACTTTTTTTTTAATTATTTTATCTAACTTTATTTATTTATTTTAATTTGACCAGAGACGGAGGGAGGGAGGGAGGGAGAGAGTGAGAGAGAAAGTGAGAAAGCAAGCTGCCAGGTCTGGGACTCAAACTGCAGTCGGCCATGTGGGAGTTCAGTGCCCTTAACCACCACACTACCTGCCGGCCACTTATTTATTTATTTTAATTTGACCAGAGAGGAACAAAGCAAGAGAAAGAGTGAGAGCGAGAGTGACAGTGAGAGAAAGAGAAAGCAAGCCACTAGGTCCAGGACTTGAACCACAGTCTGCCATGAGGGATTCCAGCACCCCTAACCACCACACCACTTGCCAGCCTCGATAACTTTTCTCTTAAAGTTCATTTTTTGAACTTCTTTTTTTTTGGTAGGGGGAGAGGTTTTTGCTATAGGGCGTGTGCGTTCAACAGAAAGACACGGAGAGACAGAGAGACAGAAATCAAGAAATCACCCCCCGGGGGGGGGGTGGCCATGCCACAATCCCTTCCCCTTCATTCTCCTCTTGGGATCTTGGGCACGCACGCACATGTGCCTGGTGTGAGTTTAAGCCACGGGATCTGAGACTCAAACCGTGGTCGACTACATGGGAGTCCTGCGATGCAGACATTACGCCATCTGCTAGTCCCCATTTTACTGACTTTCTTAACAAGCTGAAATAAGTATACCACACTGTGATTTTCCTCTGCTAGTCGTCATACCATAGCCTTCTGGTAGGTCTGGAGGAGTATGTAAATGTGTCCTGCTCATGTAATTTCTATGCCGTTGTGACCTGACTCTCCGCTCTGCCAGCCTGGGATCTGAAGACTGTCCACATGTTGCGCCATTTGTCCCACTAATTGGAGTGTTCTCATCGACAAGGCAGCTAAGAGGTCTCCCAGGACTAGAATATTCAGATGCCGGCCTGTTAAAAAGTAACATGGAAAACAGTAATTTAGATATCAAAAGTAGAGCTCTCTAGATAAGGTTTAACACTATAGTCACAATCATTTATCATATCGGAAAGTAGAATATTTAATATAAATCATTTGAAAAACTGAGTGAAAGCAAGCCCAAAGTCTTCAAGCACAAGAAACTTAAGCGATATGCATATCTGCAATTATGTATTTAAATGATTTTATAAGGATTTTAGTTACATTTTATATAAAATCCATATGTACAGTCTCCCTCTGAGACCTCACTTCTCACCAGAGTTTCCCACCCTACTTCTCCACATTGATGTGCTTCCTGTTCCCTGAATTGCCAAGGTCATTCCACCGTGACTCCTTGAGGGCAGCAGCTTTTCTGTCCACGGAATACTCTTGTTTCCTGTTCTCCCTAGGTCCTTCACTTACCACTGCCTCCTCAGAGGTCCTTCCAACTTCCCAATCTAAAGTCACCCAGCCATTTGACAGTATATTGTCTTAATTTCTCAACACAGCAATTATCTCTGATATTTTTTCTGTTTTAAGTCCTTCCAAAATGAAAGGATAATCAAAAGTTCACTTGTAAACTAACTTTTATAAAAACATTCCACTCTTCATATTTCTAAAAATAAAGGATGATTTTTATCAGCTGAATAAGATGGAAGGAAACAGACTTCACTTAACACTGACACAGGTACACATGAATTTATGCTCAGATACAATAAAAATAGATCCTTCAAATTCAATTTAAAAACCCCTGGCAGTTTAGTACTGGAAATGCAACTCTCAAGTAAGCAATTCAAAATATATATTTATTTATTTATTCATTTATTTTAATTTGACCAGAGAGAGAAAGAAGGAAAGTAAGAAAGCAAGGCACCAGGTCTGGGACTTGAACTATGGTTGGCCATGTGAGAGTGTCCAGAGCCTTAATCATCATGCCACCTGCTGGTCCCCTCAAGTTAGCATTTTTTTAAAACAGCAATATGATCTCATAATATAACTGAGAAAATTTTGTGATTCTTAATCCTGAATAAATAAGAGTAAATACTGCTAATGAGAAGTATCCAATATGCTAAGCCTGGTGCCAGTCCTGCTCAGAAGGTAAAACACAAAAACAAACAAAAAACGCCATGCAGAAATAGCAAATCAACTTTGTTCTTACTTTCAAAAATTAAAAGGAAATTCAGTCACTATCCTATTCATTTTCAGTTACTTAAAAAAACATCACTTTGCAGTTCCCAAAAGTTATCTTGCATCTGATGCCTTTATACGTTAAGCTCCATAAAGAAAAGGATTCCATCTGCTATACTTCAGGGTGTAGTTCAGAGACGCCCCCTCCTTCAGAGCTTTTTTCAAGTTCTACCGTCTCCTCAACTCCCACTCTAAGTTAGGCACTTTCCATATGGGCCCAGATCATCTGGTTATCTTGATCTTGGACACAGCAGGATATAATCGCTCCTTTCAGTAACTGGAAGAATGGAGACTCTGTATACATATATTTAGTTATATCCCCAAAAGATAAGATTTCCAGAAATACAACGCCTGTTCCCCTTATTGCTTTAATTCATTCAATAAATACCTGAGTACCATCATGGGCCCTCAAGCTATGATAACAGGATGATCTGTCATACAATCATTTATCATTTGAAGACTACTTTTAAAAATAACAATGACGCCTGTTCTAAAATCTACCAATCTAAGACAATATAAATCAAGGAAAAAAACGCCAAATGAGTTGACAGGTAAACAGAAAGGGACTTTGTGAGGGTGAATGGCACAGACAATGGGAAAACAGTTGGATGTTCTTACCGAGTTGGGCGTTCCCACTGTGTAGTTCTTGTTATGTGGTTTAGATACTGGATCCTTCCAGAGGCAGTCCTCCTTTCTTCCCAGCTTAAATAACACATTGAGAGATTAGGTATTAGTAGGAATGTTTTCAGTGCAATAGCCAAGCCAGGAAGGCATCTGCTATTACAAATCAAGAATACCAGATTGAAAGATTGATTCACAGAATGTAAGATTTTTCAACTTTTTAAAAACTATTTATTTAATTTAATTAATTTATTTATTTTTAAATTTGCTGTTGACCTCGTGCACTCACTAGACAGAGAGAGGAAAAAAAAAAGAGAGAGAGAGAGAAAATAAGAAAGCAAACCACCAGGTCCAGGACTTGAACCACAGTTACCCACGTGGGAGTCTAGTGCCTTAACCACCATGCCATCTACTGGCCCCTCAACTTATTTTAAAACTGCATAATGTATCTTATGGAATTCTGAGGGCTCTAAAATATTTATGCTGAGATGTAACAAATATTTTACATCAGCCAACCTCTGAAAATTTTTGAATAATGTTAAATTTTCAATAACTGACCTTATTAAAAAAATAAATAACTGACCTTAATGAAATTATACTTCCACAAACTAATGAAAAAATGGCTACACTAAAAATAGTGTAACCATAAAATTAATTATGATCATAAAGGTAATAAGCAAAAGAATATATGTATAAAATTAAGGATTGGAACCAGGTGGTCTAAAAACAGAAATCACACAAAATTTTAAAATTAAATTTCACTAGAAAAGCATATACAAGCTTTTAAAAGCATTTAGCCTACCCAAACTAATTTTTTAAAACAAGAATGCTTTAAATAATCTCTCTCTCTCAACTTTTTATTGTGATTCACACAATGAAAAAAAGGCAAGTGACTACAGGAATGTGGTAATGTTATTTCCATCAGAATACTGGCAGAGGTCTGGCATCATTAAAAACAGAAAATAAAGAGATGCTAGGTTCTTCTACTCTCTGATTATGATAATAATGTAGGGCAAGTTTAGAACAGTAAGCCTTATAGTGCTGTTCTCTTTATCTCTTTTTGGTAGAGAGAACATGCACTCACCAGAGATAAGAGGGAGAGCAGAAAGCAGCCTCCATGAAGGATAGGCACACCACAATCCCTTTTCCTCCATTTCTCCTTTCAAGATTCAGGCCACACATAAACACGTGCCCAGTATGTTTTTCTTTCCTTCTCTTTCTTTCTTTTTTTTTTTGGAGAGGATTTTGCTATAGGGCGTGTGCACTCACCAGAAAGACAGAGAGAGACAGAGAGACAGAAAGTGAGAAATCACCCCCCGGGGGGATGGCCATGCTGCAATCCCTTCTCCTCCATTCTCCTCTTGGGATCTTGGGCAAGCACGCACACACGCCTGGTGTGAGTTTAAGCCACCAGGTCCAGGACTCGAACTGTAGTCGACTACATGGGAGTACAACGCCATAGCCATTATGCCAACTGCTGGTCCCCCCAGTGTGTTTTTCAAGCCGCCGGTCCAGGACTCAAACTGCAGAGTCGGTCACATAGGTTCCAGCTGCCTTAACCACCATTCCCCATAGCCAGCCCATACTGCTACACTCTCTTAAGTACTCATTAGTTACTTCATGCTAAACTACCCCTTCAAAAATATCATAATTTACCTCACATCGGTAAGTTAAGAGACATATGAAGAAGTTAAAGTGATCTACAGGAAGAGTTAATTACAATACTTGTAGCAGTTTAAACAAAATAACCAAATACTATAGCTTGGATATAAAATTTCATGTCAAAATAATGTGAATAACAACTCAACCAATTATATACTTGAAATGGTGGAATTTATTGTATATAAATTGTACTTCATTATGGTTAATTAAAAATACTTTGAAAGTTGGGACCAGCAGTTAGCGTAATGGCTATGTCACTGGACTCCCACGTAGTCGACTGCAGTTTGCGTCCCGGACCTGGTGGCTTAAACTCACGCTGGGCGCGTGTGCGTGCATGCCCAAGATCCCAAGAGAAGAGAGGAGAAGGGACTGTGGCGTGGCCATCCCCCCTGTGGGGTGATTTCTCGCTTTCTGTCTCTCTGTCTCTCTCTGTCTTTCTGGCGAGTGCACCGCACCCTATAGCAAAAACCTCTCCAAAAAAGAAAAAAATACTTTGAAAGTTAAAAATAAAATCAGTGTCAGAAATAATATTGAATGAAGAAAACAAGAATAAAGATCATGAATTTCAAAACCAAGACTTAAGTTTGTGTCCCAGCTCTGCCACTGCTATGTGAGCTTAGGCAAGTTACTTAGCTTCTCTGAACTACAATTTTTTTAACCTGTCCAGTTAATCAGTAGGTGTGGGGCAGTGGCCCAGCAGAAAAATCCAAGACTCTGCGAAGCTGACACTCATGGGAAGGTTCTGGCTTTGCCCCTAGAGACCTCCCTGAGTACCCTAGCCACATATGTGCCCGTGATCCCTGGCTGGCTGAGGCTGGGGGGTGGATTGCAATGTCAAGACTCTGCTGGAGGTAATGTTCTCTGTCTCTCTTGCTCATGGGAGAAATAAACAAAATGAATGAGGGTAACAATGATAGAATCAGTAGAAATAATGGTAGTTAATTATTTAATAAGCACTTAATATATGCAAGACACTGTGCTTTACATGAATGATTTTATTTAATCCTCTCAACATGTATGGGATATGTGCTATTATGAATTATCTTCTTTTATAAGCAAACATAAACTAAAGTTTACAGAAGTTAAATTAAGGCCACAGAGTCAGTAAACAGAAGAGTAAGGACTGGAACCCAATTCCAGATCATATGCTATCTACTGCTTTTGAGAATTAAATGACATAAGGTATATAAAGTGCTTTTAATAGTATCTGATATATGCATGTTCAATAAATGCTACTATGTTAGTATAATTATTATTACCCAAATACTCTATCATCTCAATGGTAAGATGTTTCAAGTTCAACAATTATCTGATTTGAGTAAGTTAATCAAGCAAAACAGTTTTAACTAGATAATACTTACAGAATAGCCATATTTGTCAAGAAATTTCATTTGTCTCCAAGTTAAAACTCTCTTTTTTTTTTTTGGAGAGGTTTTCGCTATAGGGTGCGTGCGCTCGCAAGACAGACAGAGAGAGACAGAGAGACAGAAAGTGAGAAATCACCCCGCAGGGGGGATGGTCACGCCACAATCCCTTCTCCTCCATTCTCCTCTCAGGATCTTGGGCACGCACGCACATGCGCCCGGCGTGAGTTTTAAGCCACCGGGTCCAGGACGCCAACCGCAGTCGACTACGTGGGAGTCCAGCGACATAGCCATTATGCTAACTGCTGGTTCCCTCTAAGTTAAAACTCTTAACCGAATTTAATGCATCTAATTCATAGCATACTTTTATAAACCTGTTTGACAAGAGCCTTCACTAATTTTCCAAGTAGAAGGAAATCCTACACTCTGGAATTGATCATGGCAAATTTCTAAAATTAAGTATACAATAAATACCAACTTATTTCTCATTATTTTAAGGATCATATCTCTATATTTCTCTAATGATGTTAGTGATGTTAACTTACCCATCTGGTAAATCATTATCAAACAAACGACTGCAGTCCACAACTTGTCCTCCTGTACCTATTCGGTCTCTGGACTGAAGGCTTACTATTATGAAACAAGAGAAACATTACTGAGATTCATAGCACTAGAAAGAACTTACACAATCTACAACATCTATCTTTAGAAGACATTTGGCTTAGTTTATTTTAATACTTTGGAATGAACTTTTTGGTTTCTACTAAAATCTAATTTCCTTTTCCATAGATGTTTCCCTTTAAGAAGGGATATTAGAAAATGTTAAGATTTTCTACACTTTGGCACGTGCATGGCCATGCGTAATTCCTTTCTTACCATTATAATGAAATGCAGGGTCACTATCGAACTTAAAAAGATGCATAACACACTAAGTGTATATTCATATATAGAGGAGTCTGAAAAGTTCACATTAATTTGGATTTAATTTTTGATAATCTGGCCATCTTCAAAAATACTGGATTCTGGAACAAGGGCAAAATCCTTGGATTCCATGAGTTTTAGTAGTACATAATTGCACAGTGTAGTATAAAACCACCAGTATAAACTTGGAAGCAACACATGTGAACTCTAGAGCAGGTTCGACCAATAGCTTAGCACTGTAACAAGACAGAACACACTTAACATAAGGTTCCCATCATCCCAACCTGAATAATGAGGAAGCTGGGTCACATGACAGCCCTGAAGTCCTTCCTTGCTGCCCTAGTATTCTTTAACTCTGTTTCTGGCAATGCTCCCAAAACACAGAAGAGGGACAGTCAAACTCAACTATAATGCAACTTATTAAAGAATTAAAAGGTTATCATGTAGTCTGACTTCTAAGGACCCTTAAAGGAAGGGTCTCAAAAAGGCCAGCTCTGTAAAAATTTGGAAAAATCAAAATTAGATCTCTTTTATATTAAGTTCCATTTCTATTATACAGAAGAAAACTTTTTTCCTGCTCAGTGAGTATAAACAAAACATTATATGAAAACTGTATTAGAAAACGAATCAGTTTTTAGGTGTTTTAAAATAGCCTAAATCTAATAAAATGAATCTCAGAAATATTATATTTAGGGCCAGCCATGGCATAGTGGTTAAAGTAGCTGGTCCCACATGGCCAACTGGGCAGCTTAAGTCCCAGACCCAACCACTTGAAAACAAGCGTGTACCAAGTAAGGGTATTTGTGCCCAGAAAGAAAAATGAAGAAGGTACTATAGTGTGACCATTCCCCTTGGGGAAGTGGGTGATTTCTCACTTTCTCTCTCTCTCCCTTTGTCCAGAGAGCACACACACACACACTGGTAAAAAAAAAAAAAATAGAAAAATAGAAAAAGAAATACTATGTTTATCAGAACACTGTTTATAATACTAGAACAATCTAAATTGCCAATAATAAAGAACTAGTTAAATTAATTAAATGCCCACCATGAACTACCATAAACCATTTTAAAATGCCAAGAAACGGGCCAGCTGGTAGTGTGGTGGTGAAGGCTGCTAGATCCCACATGGCTGACTGCACAGTCTGAGCTGGGCACGTGTGGATGCATGCCTAACACCCTGAGAGAACAGAAGAGAAGGGAGTGTGACATGGCCATTCCTCTTGGACAGGATGCTTTCTCACTTTCCTTCCTCTCCTATGTCCCACAACCCCCATCCTTCCAGCAAGTGTATGTGCCCAGTATCAAAAAATAAAATTAAATTAAATTAAATTAAAATAAAATAAAATGCTTAGAAATGTATCCATGGATTTTAAAAAATGTTTATAATTTTCTTTTATAAAGATGTTTATAGGGGGGTGGGCAGCAGATGGCATAGTAGTTAAGGTACTGGACTCCCACATGGCTGACTGTCTCAAGTCCTGGACCTGGCACTTGCTTTCTCACTTTCTCTCTCTTTCTGGTGAGCATGCATGGCCTATAGCAAATCTAAAAGTAATAGTATTAATCGTAATAAATAAAATTAAATGACTTTTTTTAAAAAGATGTTTATGGGGGCTGGCAGGTGGTGTGGTTGTTAAGGACACTGGACTCTCACAAGGCCAACCACAGTTCGAGTATTGGACCTGATAGCTTATTTTCTCACGTTCCATCTCTCTGTCCCTCTCTGGACAAATTGAAAAATAAATAAAGTGAAATAAAATGATTCTTAAAAAAAGATGTTTATGAAAATTTTGCATGGTCTATTTTATTTTTTAAAAAATACAACTTATTATAGATAATGCTACAAATGGTTGAGACGATGAATATACTAATTACTCTTTTTTTTGGAGAGGTTTTTGCTATAGGGGGCGTGCAATCACCAGAAAGACAAAGACAGAGACAGAAAGTGAGAAATCACCCCCCCCCCCCGGGGAGGATGGCCACACCACAATCCCTTCTCCTCCATTCTCCTCTTGGGATCTTGGGCATGCACACACACACACACACGCCCGGCGTGAGTTTAAGCCACCAGGTCTGGGAAGCGAACCGCGGTCGACTACATGGGAGTCCAGCAACATAGCCATTATGCCAACTACTGGTCCCAACTCTGACTTATAAATCATTACACATTGTATTCATGTATTGAAAAAATCACACTGTGGGACCAGCAGTTGGTGTAATGGCTATGTCACTGGACTCCCATGTAGTCAACCCTGTTTTGAGTCCCGGACCCAGTGGCTTAAACTCATGCCGGGTATGTGCGCATAGGTGCCCAAGATCCCGAGAGGAGAATGGAGGAAAAGAGACTGTGGTGTGGCCATCCCCCCGGGGGGTGATTTCTCGCTTTCTGTCTCTCTCTGTCTTCCTAGAGAGCGCACATGTCCTATAGCAAAAACCTCTCCCCCACCAAAACAACAACAACAACAACAAAGAAGGGTAATGTATCACGAGTGTTTCCTAGGTTCTCTGTCTATACTTAGAGTTTAATTTACAATAAGAAAAAAATAAACTTCACAAGAGGTGGAAGAGTTGAATAACTTTTAAATGCAAGGGAAAAGGTTTGTATACCTCTTAAACCAATCACTTCGATTTGGGAGATTTTCTACGTTACAATAGCCAAAAATAAGTTAAAACTTTAATGGTCAGTTATAATGTATCTACATAATTAATCTTTTAAACATCATTAATTACAAAGCTTATGCATAAACACTAAAAATGGTTATGGTAACTAAAAGAAAGAAAAATAAAATTTTTATGTTCACTATAATTAAAATCATAAAAATATTACACACAAAAGTGTATATGAAAATATTCAAGAGGAATTTTTAGCTTTTGTTGTTGTTGTTATTTAAAGGTTTTGCCACAGCATGAGTGTGCTTGCCACAGGGAGACCTAGAAAACAAAGTGGGAAATCATGGTCCGGGAAGGATAGCCAAGCAGCAATCCCTTCCCCATTCTCCTCTCAGGATTTTGGGAACATAGGCATGCGCACACACACCTGGCATGAATTTCAAGCTGCTGAGTCTAGGACTCGAACCACAGTCTGTCTGCCATGTGAGAGTCTAGCACCTTAACCACCAAGCCACCTGCTGACCCAGAGAATAACCACTTTTTAAAAATTATTTAATCTAATTTAATTATTATTATTGTTAAATTTGACCAGAGAGAAAGAAAGAAAGTGAGAAAGCAAGCCACCAGATCCAAGACTCAAACTATGGTTGGCCATGTTGGAGTCCAGCGTTCCAACCACCATACCACCTTCTGGCTTGGAGAATCAATATTTTTAAAATTACTTATCTAGTACACTTTTCTCCATTTTCCAGAAAGATTTATTCACTCATATATAAATATATAGATGTATACACATGTGTATATATGTATAAATAAATATATATATATATATATGTGTGTGTGTGTGTGCATGTGTGTATCTTTATAATTAAGTATAGAGGCCTAATTCTACAATATCTGGAACTTACTCTGTTTTTGAAGGGCAGAACTGCAGGGTCAGTGTTTGATCTGCCTCTTTCTTATTAAAGGTCCTATTATGAACATCGGATTCACAAAAAGAGCTTTAAATTATCTACATACACATTTAAAAGCCAAACATTGTTTTTTACGTAGTATACCCAAACAGATGTATTTCTCTTTAACTTTTTTTAAAGATTTATTTATTTTTGGGACCAGCGGGTGGCGTGGTGGTCAAGGTGCTGGACACTCCCACATGGCCAACCAGGGTTCGAGTCCTGGACCTGGTGGCTTGCTTTCTCAATTCCTCTCTCTCTCACTCTCACCCTCTGTCTCTCTCTGGTCAAATTTTAAAAAA